GACAGAGACATCTGTGTAAATGTATCTGAGATAAATGAGTTAACATAACTGAGATATATCAGAGTTATTGTGACAGAGATATCTGTGTAAATGTATGTGAGATAAATGAGTTAATGAAACAAGATATCAGAGTGAATAAAATTTTCATGAGGTGGAAAGACCCCCATTTAGCATCCATTTGGATAGACAGACAATATTTGGAGGTAGGTGTCTCTATGAAAATATTTGAAAGCATAAGGCATTAGTCCATAATACTATAATTTAGCCAGGTAAAGGTGTAAGCTATGGTAATCATAAAAGAACCAATTGAAAGTGTCTGTTCAATCTAAATAATGGCATGTCTCACTGTAGTAACCACCCAGCATCATGTATTTTATAGGGCGTTGTTATGTGATGTAGCAGTCTAGTTTTCAGGATGATTCATTGATGAGCAACCTTGGTCTGAGTAATACCAAACATACTGGTGCCAATATTGTGCAATACTTCATATCATATGACTAACACATGAAATCCTTCTCTACTTTTTTGTCTTTGGATGATATTCAAAACTTATATCCATGGCAAAGAGACAAGCCGATACAATTGTGTTAACCAAATATATGGTGCTGTATTTACACAGTTGATAAAAGTGCTACAACAAAATCGAAAATTTTTCTCAAAATTCGAAAACAATATAATCATCCTTTGCTTTTGCACATAGTTACCTAATCCATCAGTAACATAACTAATGATGCCAGAAGAAAATTTTAATACTTTTGTTGCTACGGTAAGAAGAAAGAAATTAATTCATTCTTGCAAATATCTTAATGTATAGAAAACTATGTGCCAGGCAGAATAAACTGAAAACATTAATCATTAAGCCAAGTTAAAGTTTGCAGATTTTCTGGTTGCCTACTTGCTCAAAAAGTTGCCAGTTCACAACAAATCAAATATTAAAATGATTTGCCCTATAAACAATTTACTTTTCTGGAATTTAAATCCCTAAAAGTAACAAAGTTTCAATTCAAAATTAATCATGTCATGTCATAGCAAGGCAAAAGTTAATATATAAGTCCGCAAATTTCCTTCTTGACCTACTGTTCAGGAAGTTGTAACCTTGTAAAGTACATTCCACAATATATATTATAATAGTCAAGCAAAAGTCAAGAAGGTTTTAATTGTTAAATTATCAATAACTCCCATCAAGTTTTAACAAGCTGCCCTAAAGTGATTACTACAGATATAAAAAGTTGTACTTTTAGAGACCTAGGAAATGGAGTTAATTTTAGCCTTTGATTATCTTTTAGTCTATAAGAATGCTTGCAATTAAATAGTCAACATTATAAAATTTTGTCAGCCTTCATAGATGGTACCAGGGCCTGTTTCTATCATTGCCATAACATTTTCAGAGAGTTTATTATCATTCACAAGAAAAAACATGCACATGTTTGACAGTATTCTTATTTACAGAGATCAATGATATAATATTATCATTGTTTTCAAGATTCAAAGCTAATTAATTGAAGGGTAAACTTTAGTGATTTCAATGTAATTTTGGTTTCACAAAGACAATTGATGTACAAGTCACTGACATAGTTTCACCTCTACAATTATCAATATACACACTATTGTACATATACTTAACATCAACATGTGACTTGTCTGTCTGTCTGTCTGTCTGTCTGTCTGTCTGTGCTGAATTACTTAAATTATCACAGTGTTCAAATATTACTATCACAATATTCAGCCAACATCACCTGTAGGTCATGGATAAACTTTTGAAGGACTCTTGATAAATGATGTAGAACACTGATAGCTAGCTAGACTTATCTGAAAGTAGTACCTGCATATATACATGTATATATAATTATAAATAAATATAAATAAAATAACACCACTTAATTATTTATATATGATGAATGATGCAACTGCAGCTAAGTTAGCAACAATTCTAAGCTACACCATCATGAAAATTTACATTATTTATAAATCAAGGAGAAAAAAATAAATATTTAAACCTGTAACTTACAGGTACAAATTTACAGGTACAAATATGATTTCTTTTCAAGAAAAATATAATGATTTGTATGACTTGTGTTTAGGTTGGGAATTACAAAAAAAAATGAAATTTATTTCAATATATTTGCTTTTAAAGACATGTACTCAGTTAGGGATTGGCCCACCAGTTCCCTAGTGTCTTGTGTTTTTTCTAATATCTGGTAACAACACCATATTGTAAACAAACAGTAAAGACTCATAGTGTATATTCACAAATATATGAAGAATTTTTTTTTCTCTGGTTATATGATTTTACAATTTTATACAATAATCTATAAAAATGTCTTATTTAGATGATTCAAAAACAATTAAAATAAGTAAGTCAAATTTCTTTCGGTTTAATGACAACATCAATCTCTGTTATCGCCAGATCTCTTTATACATGTAATCAATATAACCTGTTTCATATTCTCTCCTAATAAAGGTCAAACTGTATAAAATCTATACAACAAGACTTGTCTTTGAAAACAGGACAATTTATGACCCAGTAATAGAACTGATAACTTTTCATTTACATTAAAGGCATGGTTACTAAACATTAACAAAAACACCTTCTTAAATTCTCAGTATGCCCAATTATTCAAACAAGAGGGCCATGATGGCCCTAGATCGCTCACCTGAATTATCAAACTCATCCAAACAATTACCTAGACAAGCATTCTGACCAAGTCTCATGACAGGTGAGTCAAAAATGTGACCACTACAGTGTTAACAAGGATTATCCATATTTGAGCAGTGCGACCTAGTTTTTTACCCATGTGACACATATTCAAACTTGACCTAGAAATCATCAAAACAAACTTTCAGACCAATTTCCAGGATACTTGGATCAAAACAGTAGCAACTAGAGTGTCAACAAGATTTTTCTATTTTTAGCTCTGGTGACCTAGTTTCACATGCGATTTCGAACTAATCCAAGCAATTACCTAGACAAGCATCCTGACCAAGTTTGATGATAATCGAGTCGAAAATGTGACCACTAGAATGTTAACAAGGTTTTTCCATATTTGGGCGGTGTGACCTAGTTTTTCATCCAAGATGACCCATGTTTGATCTTGACTTAGAAATCATCAAAAAAAACTTTCAGACCAATTAACAGAATATTTGGATCACAACAGTAGCCACTAGAGTGTTAACAAGATTTTTCTATTTTTAGCTCATGTGACCTAGTTTTTCATCCGAGATGTCCCATGTTCGATTTATTCCAAGCAATGACCTATTCAAGTTTCCTGACCAAGTTTGATGACAATTGAGTCAAAATTGTGACCACTAGAGTGTTAACAAGGTTTTTCTATTTTTTAGCTCCTGTGACCTAGTTTTTCATCCGAGATGACCCATGTTCGAACTCATCCGAGCTATCACCTAGACAAGCATCTTGATCAAGTTTGATGATGATTGATGCAAAAATGTGACCGCTAAAGTGTTAATAGGTTTTTCTATTTATAGCTCCGGTGACCTAGTTTTTCATCCGAGATGACCCATATTCGAACTCATCTGAGCTATTATCTAAACAAGCATCCTGACAAAGTTTGATGATGATTGGGTCAAAAATGTGACCACTAGAGTGTTCACAAGGTTTTTCTATTTTTAGCTCCTGTGACCTAGTTTTTCATCAGAGATGACCCATGTTCGAACTCATCCAAGCAATTGACTAGACAAGCATTCTGACCAAGTTTGATGATGATTGGTTCAAAAATGTGACCACTAGAGTGTTCACAAGGTTTTTCTATTTATAGCTCCTGTGACCTACTTTTTCATCCGAGATGACCCATGTTCGAACTCATCCGAGCTATCACCTAGACAAACATCCTGACCAAGTTTGATGATGATTGGGTCAAAAATGTGACCTCTAGAGTGTTCACAAGGTTTTTCTATTTTTAGCTCTTGTGACCTAGTTTTTCATCCGAGATGACCCATGTTCGAACTCATCCGAGCTTTCAACTAGATAAGCATCCTGACCAAGTTTGATGATGATTGAGGCAAAAATGCGACCGCTAGAGTGTTCACAAGCAATTGTGGACGGCCGGACGGACGACGGACGACGGACATTCACCGATCCTAAAAGCTCACCCTGAGCAAGCTCAGGTGAGCTAAAAAGCATCCATGAATAAAAGGCGTAGATATGACCATAACAACTAAAGATACTATTTTGAAATCTAATATAACCTTCACCTTTCTAGCTGTCCTAGCATTTTCGCTTCATTTAACTTCTTAATGTCCCACAAAATTAATTATACCTAGTAATTTTAAATTGCTATCCAGGAATGACAGAATTTGTAACTAGTAACACTTGATCATCAATTCAATTTGGACATTAAAGTGTGACCTTCACCTTTGGGCTGCTGAAGTTCTTGGTCGTTACATGTCATCCCAAAAAGATGCATATTTATAGATTTTAATTTCAAAATCCATCCATGAGTAACAAATTAATGCGCAAAACACAACAATACATTCAGAATCATCACTTTTAACTGTAAAAGCTCGACCTTGACCTCTGAGCTGGAGACTTGTTAACACTGTGCCTTAAAGTGTATATAATTATCTACTGTCAGAACTGCAGATTGTTGACCTAGCAGGCACATCAATGCTGTTTAATGAAGAATTTTCTTTTAACAGTGACCTTAACCTTTGAGCTACAAGCTTTGGTTTTGTGTAAGACACATCAGCTCTATGTGCCAAATATTTAGGCATAATTATTTTATTATCAATCCATGAATGATGGGCGGAACAACCAACTAACCATCAACCGACAAGCTCACTCCTATATACATCCTCCACTCAAGACTTTTGTTTTGACATTATTTTTATTCATATATGCATAATGGGAGGAGTCATGCTGTATATGAATAAAGGGAGGAGTCATGTTCATCTGTTTCACACCAAATGAAAACTTTCCACTAAAAGAACCATGGTAACTTTCAGTATCACTTAACAAAAAATTAATATAAACTTAAATTACTTACAGTTGAAGCAGACAACTGGTCTAACAAAGTAGCAGTCAATCAATCTGTGAGGTACACCAGGAGGACCTGAAATATACAACAATTTATTGAAACATATTTTTATATCCAATTCTATTTAAATTAAAAGATACACAAATATCTAAAAAAATCTGAATTATTTCCGATTTCCAGGAAAAGCCCTGTCTTACGATCTTTTTAGACCATAACAGAAAGATGCAAATGCATCAGAAAAATTCCGACCATGGCTGGGATTTAAACTTGTAACTACTGGCTTACAAAGAAAATATTAAAGCTCTCTTTCACTGACCCAAAGAATCAATTCCCTGCAGGTTAGACTTAAGGAAATGTCGGTAAGTGTTTTTTCAAAAATAACAATATTTATTTCACAAATTTTCCTAAAAAAATAGTTGCAGCAATAGTTTTTGATTTGATTAGTCACAGACAAGACACTAAATAATACCGGAAGCAAAATAAGGTCAATATATTATTTTTCATAAATGTAACTAGCCAATATATTATTAGTCATAAGTGTAACTAGCCAATAAATTATTATTCATAAGTCTAACTAGCCATTAAATCACTATTCATAAATATAACTAGCTAATATATTATTATTCATAAGTGTAACTAGCCAATAAATCATTATTCATAAGTGTAACTAGCCAATAAACTATTATTCATAAGTGTGACTAGCCAATGAATTATTATTCATAAGTGTAACTAGCCAATAAATTATTATTCATAAGTGTAGCTAGCCAATAAATCATTATTCATAAGTGTAACTAGCCAATAAAGTATTATTCATAAGTGTAACTTAGCCAATAAATTATTATTCATAAGTGTGACTAGCCAATAAATTATTATTCATAAGTGTAACTAGCCAATATATTATTATTCATAAGTGTTACTAGCCAATAAATTATTATTCAGAAGTATAACTATCCAAAAAATCATTATTCATAAGTACTAGCCAATAAATTATTATTCACAAATAAATTATCATTCATAAGTACTAGCCAATAAATTAATATTAGTCAGCAAAACTAAAATAGTTCAATATTTCACATAAAAATTAAGCACCCTTTAAAGAATGTCAGAGGAGCTTTGACCTAAAAAAGTTAACATTTATTACAAATATGATCCAAAAAACTCCAATTTTAGAAAGTATTGCAATGAACATGATTGATTTAACAATCTTATCATGCATTGACAAAAAAAACAAAAAACAGCCAAAGAATTGTTAATACTGGCCAAAATATGGAAAAGAAATTGCATATAGATAATATGTCAATAAAACCGACCACAGCTATACTTCGGCTTTTTTATTATGTTTTGCTAACCTCATGGCAAGGTTACACCCTCAACCCCCCTCTGCCAAGGTTTCATTGTGTACAACAAAAGGCAATTGAGGTATTATCACACTGGATATTGTTGCTATTGTTAAAGGTTGCCTTAATGGGGACATCGCTCCAAGATGTAAAAATTCAGTCAATAGGACATTCATAGCCCCAAATTGTGTCACTGAAAGTAATTTGCTGTAATATTATCAAACGACAAGAAGCAATCTACCAAAATTGAGGTCATTAGTACTATAAGATAAGAGGACAGGTGTTGATGACCCCACTGTGGTAAAACCTGATTTATCTGAATTAGATAATAACCCCTTTTGGCTGCTGGTTATAAAGAAAGTAGGTTAATTATATAGGTGTATTATAGTACAAGCCCTTTAATTATAGATGACAAAAATGGGTTTATACTATGGTATGTATATTATTTTTTTTAGAGGAGCCTGTGTTGTCACATATAATATAGACTTGTAATCATATAGCCTAAAATAATTTTGACATGAAAAAGTATCAGTGAAACCAACAAAGGTGTTTGACACTTGGAGGACCTACAGAAAAACTAAAACAAAAAGAAGTGTCAAACTTCACTATCTTTACTGCAGAAATATATTTAAACTAGAAATGTGTCATCATGCCACGGATGCCCCCGCATGCAGCCAAAATTTCAGATGGTGCATTAATTTAAATTATTTTTTTTTATTTTAAGTTCAAAGCCCTTAAAACTTTTCAATGTTAACACAAACCATTTTCATACAATGTTCAAGGCACTGAAATTATTCAGTCTTAACCTTTTAGAAATAGCATATTGCATATTTGTAGCCAAAATAATGGCTAAAAGTATGAGTGCTGAAACTGAAAGTTTAAAATTTTTCCAACATTCAGGAAAGATAAGTTTGTCTAAAATCATTGAACCACGACCAAATTCAAACTTAAACTGCTTATTCCTAAGATGTATCTATATTATTTTCAAAGTGAAAGGGACATAACTCTGCCAAAAAAATCATCAAACCATGACCAAATTCCAACTTGACCTGCCCATTCCTTTGACATATCCATATGTCAAATTTAAGTTGAATATGTAACACTGTTGGGTAGATAATGAACAGAAACTGTAAATTTCATATTATTTTCAAAGTAAAAGGGGCATTACTTTGCCAAAAATCATTGAACCATGACCAAATTTGAACTTGGCCAGGGCATTCTAAAAACATATCCATATGTCAAGTTTGAGTGGAATGTGTTGTACCTTTGGGGAAATAATGAACGGAAACTGAAAATTTCATATTATTTTCAAAGTAAAAGGGGCATAACTCTGCCAAAAATCATCGAACCATGACCAAATTCGAACTTGACCTGTATTTTCTCATGACAAATCCATATATCAAGTTTCAGTTGAATGTGTTGTACCGTTGGGGAGATAATGAACGGAAACTGAAAATTTCATATTATTTTCAAAGTAAAAGGGGCATAACTCTGCCAAAAATCATCGAACCATGACCAAATTCAAACTTGACCTGTATTTTCTCATGACATATCCATATATCAAGTTTCAGTTGTATGTGTTGTACTGTTGGGGAGATAATGAACGGAAACTGAAAATTTTATATTATTTTCAAAGTAAAAGGGGCATAACTCTGCCAAAAATCATCGAACCATGACCAAATTCGAACTTGGCCTGTATTTTCTCATGACATATCCATATGTCAAGTTTGAGTTGAATGTGTTGTACCTTTTGGGAGATAATGAACGGAAACTGAAATTTCATATTATTTTCAAAGTAAAAGGGGCATAACTCTGCCAAAAATCATCGAACCATGACCAAATTCGAACTTGACCTGTATTTTCTCATGACATATCCATATGTCAAATTTGAGTTGAATGTGTTCAACCGTTCTTAAGATAATGAACAGAAACTGAAGATGACGGAATGACAGAAGGACGGAAGGATGGAATGACGGAACAGGGTAACACTATATGCCCCGGCCATTACATGGCGGGGGCATAAAAATCAAATAGGTTTTAAATAAATACACAAAATATATCACTGACACAGTAGGTAAAACAAGCATTATTTGATTTTTTTATTTTTATGGGTTTTACGTGGCACCATTACAGTATCGGTTATACGGCATTGGTGGATGAAAGCCTCAGGTGCACCTTTGTGAATTTTTTCAGGCAAAAATAAAATCTGATTAGAACTATCAACATTCTAAGCTGGATTATAAGCTTTCTCACATAAAAGAATCCAAATACGCTGGTGTGGCTCGAACCTACAGCAAAGAAAGGTAAGGGGTTTGAAGTTAACGACCTTAACCACTATAATTTTGATTCAAACTGAATTGACTAAAATTTCATATCCACTCTGACATACAGACATTAAAATTTTCATTCTGCTTTCAAAACGACTCGTATTTTTTACCTAAAAAAACTTATGAACTCTCCAAGATAAATTAAAGTCTCACATGTAAAATTTTTTTAATTTATAATTAAGTGCATGTAAGTGCCGGGGCAATGCAATAAATTTAAGTCACAAGTAAGTCACAATAACTGTAAAGTATAATCACCTATATTCCACTTAACATGCAAAGCATACATTTATCATGCCGTAGACGTGTCATAAGCCAAAAGTCCTCATTTACCAACAGGGAGACGACCATTTTATGCAATTTTCAGTTAATGAGTTTAATTCAAGCTTTTCATACAATAAGCACTTTTGTCAAATTTTCATTATTATTACATTATTAATGTATCATTATACAAATGTTGTGTAACAAAAAGGTGATAAAGTTCATTTTGATAATTTTGCAAATAATTGGCCCCCAGCTTTGTAGACAATTTAGTAATAAAGGGTAGAAATATTAAATTGTACCATACAAGAGTGTTGAACACATAAAAAAATATTCTGAAGGGCTAATCTTAGTCATCTTGTATTAAAATTATAGTACCCACTTTTTTTGTTTCCTTTGATTCCCGTGGTCTGTAAGAATTACCTTTTACATTTTTATATGAAATTTCATCCTTCCAGTATTTACAGGTGTTGTGTCAGATTCCAAATGCCAAGCTGTGCTTGTTTATGCACTGTAAGCACTAAATTTGGTACCACTAAACTTTCGCAAAAGATGCTGAAGTAGCTTTCAACATATTTGTTTGTTTTTCTGGTTTAATACTTTTTTTGGTCATGTTACTCGGCAGTCCATCAACCTAATCGGCTTTCCTGGAAAACTAACCAGTAATTACCAATTAGTTCACAAGTGACTAAATACTAATCCCACATCATAATCTTAATCAGTGGTAATTTAAGATTCAATACCAGGATGGAGCTCAGTGGTCATGGAGAAACTACGCCTTCTTTCAGGATCAAACAAGTGACCCATAAATAACTGAATCAATGCTATATCTATATAGCAATTCTTGAATAATGTGTCCATTATATAGAATTGAATATTGCAATAAATTCATTTTTAATTTGCAGTACTCAGCTAGCTAGTTGAGGTAAAATAAAATATACTAAGGCAAAAACAACCAGTAATGTGTAACTGGCCATGTTGGGGCTTTTGATACGGGTTGCATTTATCAAATCATGCCATCCTTCCTTGTTGATCTTTGTTTTCATATTTTTGCCTAATGGAACAATGCTTTTTTTTGTCACCATTGAAATAGCCTTCACAGTAAACACTTAGAGAGAATATCAAAGGGTTCAACCTTCCATTATAATGAAAT